AATAAGAGATGAAGATATTGTGTATTTAATAATGCAGTAAGTATAATATGACAGCATCGTTAATCTTAAACGTGGGGATATCATTATATATTATGTGTGGAATGTTAAAAATAAATAAGGAGTTCAGTCTGAAGTTTTAGTGGAATAAATTATTGAATAATTATAATAGAAATTATGTTGGTCCTACATAGGTTTTTTTTATATATTGTAGCTCTGATTTTATTTTATTCCTTTTTTGCGTGTCCTGTAGTTGCTCCTAATATTTGGAAAGTTAAGTGGTGTTTATTTTAAATATATAGTATAAATTAATTTAGTTTAAATAATTGATTATTATTTTATTAAATAATTTTTTATTAATTTATTTTAATATTAAAAAATATCTTCATATCTGATAGAGAGTTTTTTTTTAAATATAAAGATTGGAAAACCCTAAAGAATAAAGAAGACGCACGTTATTTCCTTTCTCTTGCCAACTGCAGAGAGTTTCCAAAAGAAGAGATGATTAAGGGGATTACTGTTGCGGGAAGAATCGTGGGTGAACTCCAATGGATCTCTAGAAAGAAGACCGGTGAAGCGATTCTGCGCTTTCATAAGAGGTCAGTTTTATTGAATTTGCTTCGATAATGTTTTTAGTCTTGCCTCCAATATGGTTTCGTTAAAGTGGTTGTTTTCCCGCTTTAACCCGCTTCCCATCAATTATCATGGTAATATTCCTATTGATTCTTAAAAACTTTGTTTTTTGTTAGTTGAATTAAATTAATAAAGAAATAGAAATAGCTAGTCCAATATTGTTTTTTCATCAATATTGTTTTTTATAAATTTGAAAAATATCTATTACAGATTATAATGATTTATTTTAATGATTAAACATTCAACTAAAATTTAACAATTATAATTTGCTAATTGGTTAAAATAGTTTATGTCAGAGTTTAAATTTGAAATCAAAACTGATGAAAGCTAATTCTATGTGAATTATGCTCTCTTCAAATTCAACAATATTGTATGGTTCAAACAAGACGTTAATCTCTTCGTTCTTTAATTCTTTTTCTTCTTTTGTTTGCTAGTTATGAATTAATTGAATTGATTGGTTTAGACCAAGTTCATGGGTTTACTCATAGCCCAAACCAATAAAAAAAAGAGTAAAACTATATTTCATTGTTGAATCAAAGCATTTGCAATCTAACAAATCAATTAAATTTACAATTAATTCTGACTGATAATTTCTGATAAAAAAAATTTTAGAATTCATGAGCAATCCTTAGTTCTGACTTGAATTTTTGACACTGTTAAAATATTACTGTTAAGAAGAATATTTCAATGTAATAATGTACAACATGTAAATCAGATATATTCGCTAGTGGAGTGGACACTGGACAAATAGTATTAGTCTGGCTATGGCAGAACTTGTCAGAAATCCTTCGAAGTTAATGAGGTTATGAGAAAAGCACAAGAAGAAATCAGACGATTAATTGGAGACAAAACAAAAGTATCTGAAAGAGATATTAACAAGCTTGAATACCTAAAGATGGTGGTGAAGGAAACACTGAGATTGCACCCACCAGGAACACTACTAATTACGAGAGAAACCATGTCACAATTTAGCATCAATGGCTATGAAATTTATCCCAAAACTCGAGTCCATGTCAATGTATGGGCAATTGGAAGAGATCCAAAAACTTGGAAAAATCCCGAAGAATTCTTTCCAGAGAGATTTATTGATAACTCCATTGATTTTAGAGGGCAAAATTATGAATTTTTACCATTTGGTGGTGGCAGGAGAGTCTGTCCTGGTATAACTATGGCATTGTCTTTGGTGGAGATTGCGCTTGCAAACCTTTTGTTTTGCTTTGATTGGAAGTTACCTGGCAATATGAAGGAGGCAGACATTAATATGGAAGAGGCATCTGGTTCTGGGCATCTGGTTCTGGCCTTACTACTCATAAGAAAGAAGCTTTATTGCTTGTACTAATTAAATATGAACTTGCATGAAAAAGAATAAATGTCTCAAATAGCCTGCTATGTTTAATATAATGTTAGTACGCATGTGCTTAGTAGTCTTCTTATTGGTTTATTTCACTGTTTAAATCATGACGTAAGGGAGTATCCTATCATGACGTAAGGGAGTATCCTATCCTAAACTTAGCTTTTAATTTCTTAGAGCTTGGCTCTCCTCTTGTATAATAAAATAAATTTTAGGGATGGAATTAATAAATAATTTGTTTGATTTGTGAATCTAATGGTAGAATATTTTTATATTCAAAATAGTGTACGAAAAATTTTACCTAAATCCGGTCTATAGCTTCACTCATGGACTAAACCAATATAATAAGATTTATCGTTGAAACAATGATATTTTTGACTATATACCGGGAAAAAAAAAAGAATAAACTCGGAACACTTTTTAAAGAATTCTTACTATTATTGGTTTGATCCGTAAGCGTGGCTATAGACCCGGTTTAGGCAAATAATTTTCTATTTATTAAACATAAATTTAATTGAAAGTTGAATAGTATGTTTATTAGTATTTATTTTATTTTATTTTATATAATTCTTCTTCTTAGCTAAACTACTAAATATTATATAAAATAAAATAAATACTCTCTTTAATGTTATTGTTATATATATATCACATCATGGTTTTTTTTTTATATTAATCATGAAATTTAAGTAATCATGAAATTTAAGTTATTTAATTTTATTCTTCTAAAAAAAAGTTATTTAATTTTAATTAAAAAGACTTAAATTTCATAAATTCCTTGCAATAGAAAGGACTTTAATTTGATCAAACTCTTATTTTTCATATTTTTATAGAAAATGAAGAGATCAATTTGCCGACCACATTTGATTTTTGTCCTTGATTTTTGTCCTTAAGTCTAACTGGCATGAGTTGATTCAAGGGACAAAAATGTGTATCCGCATATTTTGAGCTACTTGTATTTATATTCGTGTAAAATTTTATTATCCATGTCCATCTTAAACTCGTTTAAATAACCGTTTAAGTATCCAGGTCTGACTCGTTTAAAATTTTACTATTCGTAATTATTTCAAATTTGTTTAAAGTAGTTCTTAAATGGATAATATATCCATAAGTATTAAATTATTCAAATATAAACTTATTTAAAATACACCTTTTACCTAATAATAAGTGGGACACCCGCATGTACCTATGACTAAATCCATTTAATATAGTGAGCTACTTGTAATTATTTTAAATTATAATTATTTAATTGTTATATATTATTAATATTTTTATGACTCACTAATTAAACCATGACCTACCTCTTAAACCCTCTTAAACCAATGATCCCTTCGTATTTTGCATCCATACTTGCGAAAAATCATGCGCAAGGATCAAGTAAGGAGCCTCATTTCTGCAGGTGTGGACGGCAAAGTTGGATTCACAATTCATGAATGGATAGTAATATAGGTAGGAGATTTGGTACTTGTGAGAACTAGAGATGGACATATTACGGTTCCGGGAACCGTAACCGTTGGTTCGAACCGGTCTGGAACCGTAACCGGAACCGGTGGGAATCGGAACCGGGCCGAATCAGAACCGGAGAATTTCGGTTCCAAATTTTCTGGAACCGGAACCGGATTTCAATTATAAAGTGTAAAATAGCAAATAAAAGCTTATATTCTGGCCTAGTTTAGTCCACGAGCTAATGCTGCTACTTTTGCAGATTGGCATGCCAAACTTGGTCATGCTAATTCTGGCCTAGTTCATAAAGTTTTCGTTCTAATAAATTAGCTTGTAATAAAAAGACATCTCCTTTTGCACCTTGTGATGCGTGTTTTTCCAGCAGAACGCATAACCTTCCATTTCCTGATTCAATGTTTCAGACGACAGAACCACTTCAATAATTTGTTCTGGGAACCCTCACCAGTCGCATCAGTTGATGGCTATCGATATTATTTTTATTTTGTGGTCACTATAGCTATAGCAAATATTCATGGGTCTACCATTTCAATTAATTTGTTTTAGGGACCCGCATAAGTCGCATCAATTGATGTTATGTTTTGTTTTATGGTCACTATTGCAAATGTTCATGGGTCTATTTCTTAAAACAAAAATCTGATGTTTTACTTTTACCAACCTTCATTCAAATTCCCCAACTTGTGAAAAATTATTTTAATATATCTATTCAAATGTTAAAATTATTTTAATATATCTATTCAAATGTTTCAGGCTGATTAGGGAGGTGAGTTTCAGGCATTATCTGGTTATTTATGTGCAAATGTTATTACCCAACATGTGTGGTGTGAACAAAACGGTTGTGCTGCATCTCTCAAATACATGAAGTTAAACGTACTTACTAATATAATTAATCATTAACTACTTTTAATCATTTTCTTAGTAATCATATATTGATAAAAGCTAGCTCTTTAAACGCATATGTTGCACTTCCAATTGAAGTTCTTAGCGAGTTAGTTTATAGAATAGATTGAAAGACAACCAACTAATTTTAGGTCCAAAGGTCAATTTACCATAATTTTAGACCTTTTTTTATAATTTATTTTTGTAATATTCTTTTTATTTGTTGAAGTTCAAATAAGCCAAAATGTTATAAACTATATAAGATTTACTTAAACTTCGGTTAAATGTTTAAATTCACTCATGTATTTAACGAAAAAATTGTTATGATCCTCAACTCTTGAATACTTTAATTTGAAAAATTTTTTTATCAAACATTTCAACTTTCAACTTGTAAAATTTTTTCCTTTTCAAACGAAGGAAAATAAATTTATTTTTTTTGGTTCGTTGTATCCAAACATAAAGATAGAAAATAATAATGAAAATAAAGTTGACAAATCTTGATTATTTTTCTAGATTATTTTACTTTCTCCAATATTGCCTTTTTCTCTCCTTTTCAAACAAAGGGTAAATGAATTAAGGTCATGATTGTTTAAAAAGAATAATTTTTAAAAAAGAATAATTGAGAGTATTCCTTTCAAAAAAAAAAAAAAGAATTACAAAAATATTCAAAATTTTAAAATTTTTATCAATGTTTTATAGTTTAGTTAATGAAATTTTCCCGAGGTTTATTAATTTTATTTTTAATTTATTAATTTGTTTAAAAATAAATTTTGAACATGTACTCATTCCATGCCCAGTTATAAAATAATATACAAATTTATATGATTAGATCAAATAGGATGGAATTAGTTATCCAAAAACACTCTATTTATTTATCTCGCTAATTAAATTTCTCTTTGGAAGAACAAACTGTACAAATCTTATATATTTCTAAATCATTGTTAATAGAAAATAGTTGGTGGGTTTGGTATTATTTTTCTTGTTTAAATTTTGAGGAATGAAAACCGAACTTTAATGTGTATTCTTACCCAGTCAAATGATTAATCCACCTATGCTTAGCCAAGGCATTCTATATATATAGTTATATACACAATGGTTATACTCCCTCTTCTTCTAGTATATGCACTTCAAAATAGAAACATAGCTACCAATAATGGCTTCTCTTCCTCAGCATGTGTGGTTAGCTCTTATTCTTCTTCTTTTCCCCTTACTTTTTCTTTTTCCCCTTACTTTTTCTTCTGAAGAAGAAACTAACTAGCAATAACCTCCCACCAGGTCCACCTGGACTTCCAATAATAGGCAATTTACACCAACTTGGGGCCTCACCTCATTACTCTTTATGGCAACTATCCAAGAAATATGGTCCTGTCATGCTTCTCCAATTTGGTAGAGTTCCTACACTTGTTATCTCCTCTGCAGAAGCTGCAAAATAGTTTCTCAAAAAAAATGACCTCAATAGTTGCAGTAGACCTCCCTTGGCTGGTACTGGAAGACTGTCTTACAACTATCTTGATATGGCTTTTCCACCTTATGGAGATTACTGGAGAGAAGTGAGAAAGATTTGTGTTCTTGAACTTTTTAGTGCTAAAAGAGTTCAATCGTTTCAATCCATTAGAGAAGAAGAAGTGGGGATTTTCATCGATTCGATTTTAAAAGCTGCTTCTTCTTCTTCATCTGTGGATCTTAGTGAAATGTCTTTGACTCTTACTGCAAATATTACTTGTAGAGCAGCTTTTGGGAAAAGTTTAAAAGCAAGTGGATTTACCCAGGAAAGATTTCAAGAAGTGATCCATGAAGGTTTTGCCATGTTGGGGAGTTTTTCTGCAGCTGACTTTTTTCCTTATGTGGGTTGGATTGTATGTGGGTTCGGATGTTGATAGGTTACAGGCTCCATGCAGACTGAAAGAAACTTTCAAAAACTTGAATAAATTCTCCAGAAGATTATTGATGAATCATATCCAAAAAGGGAAAAGAGAAGCATGGACATAGATATTGTCGATTTTTTTGTTGGATTGGAGAGATACAAACCCTGAACCTGGAGGAGAGATATCAACCTGAACCTGGAGGAATTCAATTCACTAAAAATCACATCAAAGCAATTATCATGGTAATATTCTTATTGATTCTTAAAAACTTTGTCTAGTTAGCGAATTAAATTAAAAAGAAATAGAATAGCTAGTCAGTAGAGGAAAATTTATTCTTCATTTTTTTAAAACTTTGTTTTTTTACCTGTGGGCTCAAATCGCAATGCAGCGGAGGAGTCAAGAACTTTAACTGTGACTAAGTTTTGAGCCACGTTAGACGATTTTTGGACCCGTGATTTGCGTAAAAAAATTTATTTTTTATAAAATTTGAAAATATCTATTACATATAATAAATTATTTTATGATTAAAATTCAACTAAAATTTAACATTATAAATTTGTATTGCTTAAAATAGTCATTTCAAATTTAAATTTCAATCAAAATGATGTATAACTATTCTATGTGGTAACAATTATGCTCTCTCCAAATTCCAAATTATATCGTGGTTCAAACAAGACCTTAATCTCAATTCTTTAACTCCTTCTTCTTCTTTTGTTTGCTAGTTTTGAAATAATGGGATTGACTTATCGTGAGCCTATTCATGGGCCAAATCAATGAAAAATAAGTTTCAAATTAAAAAAAAAAAACTATTTCCTTCCTTGAATCATAATATTTGTAGTCTAAACAATGCATTTTACAATTAACTTTGCACTGATAATTTCTGATAAAAAAAAATTTTAGAATTCAATTGAGCAATTCTTAGTTGACTTGAGCATTTGACACGGTTAGAATATTTCAATTTAATATGTATGCATGTATATCAGAATATATTCCTGGGTGGATTGGACACTGGAGCAATAGTCTTAGTCTGGGCTGTGGCAGAACTTGTTAGAAACCCTCAAGTTATGAGAAAAGCACAAGAAGAAATCAGAAGATTAATTGGAAACAAAACAAAAGTATCTGAAAGTGATATTCACAAGCTTGAATACCTAAAGATGGTGGTGAAGGAAACGCTGAGATTGCACCCACCAGGAACCCTATTAATACCAAGATAAACCATGTCACAATTCAGCATCAATGGCTATGAAATTCATCCCAAAACTCAAGTCGAGGTCAATGTGTGGGCAATTGGAAGAGATCCTAAAGCTTGGAAAAATCCTGAAGAATTCTTTCCAGAGAGATTTATTGATAAATCCATTGATTTTATAGGGCAAAATTATGAATTTTTACCATTTGGATGAATTTTTACCATTTGGCAGTGGTAGGAGAAGCTGTTCGGGTATGACTATGGCATTGTCTTTGGTGGAGATTGCGCTTGCAAACCTTTTGTTTTGTTTTGATTGGAAGTTACCTGGCAATATGAAGGAGGCAGACATTAATATGGAAGAGGCATCTGGTCCTGGTCTTACTACTCATAAGAAAGAAGCTTTATTGCTTGTACCAATTAAATATCAACCTGCATAAAAAAAAAAAAAACATAAAAAAAAAAAAAAAAAAAAGAATAAATGTCCTCAAATAGCTGCCTATTTATATAATGTTGGTAATCCTATATATTATATGTCTAAATATATTATAAATGTTTAATAATAATGTCTTAGTAGTCCACCTGCTAGTTTAGTTTAACTGGGTTAAGGATCATGATATAAACAGAGTATCGTATTTTAATTTACTTCAAAGGGTTTAGTATGGGTTGGAACACTTTATTCTTCATTACGCTTTGGACAATTTGGTTAAGAAGAAATAAGCAGTTATTCTCTAATGAAGAGCAGCAGAATGAGGCTGTTATAGACACGATCAAATTGAGAAGTTTAGAGCTGATAAAGGCAAATTTCCCAATGACGCCTTATTGCCTAGTGACTGGTTGTATTTCCCCATTCTTGTGTGCAATAGTGTTGCTAGAATAAAATAAAGAAAAATGCATCAAGTTGAATCTCAATCGTGGTTGCCTCCAGAACATTGGACCTTGAAATTGAATGTCGATGGATCCTCAAGAGGTAAGCTAGGAGATGCAGGTATTGGTGGTGTGCTTAGAAATGCTTCAGGTAATGTCTTGTGTTTGTTTTTTAGATATGGCTATAGACTCAAAACGAGACTAAATTCTTAGCCATTCTAAATGTAATAGAATTATTCTATAAATCGCAATATAATAGTTGCCTTTTGATTATTGAGTCTGATTTAAGGATGTTATCATATGGAAAAAATAAAAAATAATGGGATAATGGGAATGACGGGAAAATATTACCAGATCTGATGCATTATATAATATTTTATTTAAGTTTAGTTCTGTCGTATAAAGAGAAAAAAAAGCTCATTTGCATATTCTTTGGCAAAGAAAGGGGTAACGGCTATAATACCTTTACCTTTTTTTGGCATGGTTATAAATTCATATATGATATATTTGTGTTTTTTTTTGTTTGTCAATAGTTGCTTTTCATAGTTGCTTTTCTCCTCTCTATAAAAGGTACCGGCTCTATTTTGCTCCGTATATTTTTGAAATTATCTATTGGGGTGTGGGATTCAAGGTTTTTAACCTTTAATTAAACTTCCAAGATAGGATACTGAATGTACTGGAGAAACCTGGATGGCTTGAGTTGTAAAAACATGGTTTAGTTGAGTTTTTTTCCTTTTTTATTTTTATTTAATTTCTTAAATAAAAAAAATTCATCTTTGTTGATAAAGAAAAAAAGATAGTAATTATAGTAATTATAGTTAAAGAGAGTGATAGATTTTTTTTTTTTAAGGTAAAGAACAATGAAGTGTCCTACACTGTTAAATAATATTTCAAATGAAAGAGAGGAAAAACATAAATAAAAGGATGGTTAATATAACTATCCAAAGGGCTTGAAAACTGAGTTAAAGTATATATACACACATGCTTATATATCTTGAAAAATATGTACTTTAAAATTTGTAATGTATATAGATATAGGTAAAAGGCTTTTTCTATTTATTAGGGCTATATGCTATTTTAATGTCTAAACAGATATATATATAGGGAAAATTATTATTTAGTCCCTCAGGTTTTACATAATTAATCAACTAATCCCAAGTTTTGCGCAAATATCTAATAGTCCCTCAGGTTTAACTCCGTCTAATATTAAAAGGTCCTTCCGTCACGAAAAGTTGGTTTTTTTTCCGTAATTGAAAGACTAAAAAGACTAAACACCCCTCCCTAGCTGATTGGAACCAGTATGTACCTTCCAAGCGAAGGAAACGAAAGGTCCAGACTGTCTAGAGACCGCAATCTCTCACGCAAAAACGTCTTTCATTCCAGTGAGTGTTGAAAGAATCCATGCTAAAAAATGATGTTTATTGAACGAAACGAATTGGAGTGGTCGTAGCATGTAGTGCTTCGTTTTGCGTGGAATCAACAGTCTTCAAACGCTTCATTTTGAGGTAAATACCACATACTCAAGACCCATTTCATTTTTTTGCTTAAAAAAAATTGAAAAATTGAAAATCAATATTATTGAGGATGTTTATGATGATGATTTTTGGTATATTGAAATGCTTAAGCATCGTTATGAGTTGTTTTGTGTGTAATGATAACGTATTGAGGGTTTTTGCAGACGTTTTGTGTGTAATGATAATGCTTAATCATAATGTATTGAGGGTTTTTTGTAACACCTGTGTTAAATTACAATGTAGGAAAACTTGAACTTGATGGCTTTGCCTGAAAGTTCCACCATTGGGGTCATATATGAAGGGGATACACTGTATTTGTATGATGCACAACCTGACAGAATGAGTTACATTGTCCTCTTACAAAACGTATGCAAAGTTCACAAGATAAAGGATGGGAATGTGGATATTATACAAAGGATGGGATGTGGATATTACATGCCTCTGAAATTATGGAATAGAGAATTGATGCAGACATTACTCTAAATGCTTTGATAAGATTTAAGGACACTGATTATATTGAACTGAATTTTGGTTAGGAAGTGCAAGGTGAACCAAGTGTTGTTATGCAAATGTGTTCCACAGTCAGTGGCAGATAAATATAAGTTTACATAATATGCGGTGCAAGCCTAATAGGGGAGTTCCAAGGCAAATGGTGTTGGGGAGGCAAGAAAGTAATTGGGTCACAAAACTGGAGATAAGTGGGGATGTTGGAGATGTGACCACATTATTGAGCAAGAAAATGTAGGTGCTGGGATTGGAAATACAGAGGGTACAGGTAGTGGTAAGGGGAAGGGGGCAGAAATGTTGATAGGATCACTGATGTGGGATATTGTGCTGGCTGACAACACTGAGTATTCAGGCTATGTAAACCAGTTAGGCAGGGGAAAAGGGAGGGGGAGAGGGCGATGTAGAGGCAGGGCAAATGTTCATGAGGCTAATGTGAATAGGGACAATAGGAAGGGGAAAAGAGCAATTGCAGTTGGAGCCTCTTACAGCTTTAGAGATAGAGTACAACAACAACAACCATTGGAGTGGGAGGAGGAGAAACAGAAACTGTTGTTGATAGTCAGTCCACAGATGATGACTATGTCTTTTCTGATACTGAAGATGAGAGTAGTGGAGCTGAAACACCCGAGGGAATGGAAACAGATCCAGAAGAGGAAGTTGACTTCAATGATGATGTTGATGATGGTCCCAGTGATGTTGATACTGACAAGGAACAGTCAGCTGAAAGTAGTGACATGGAGGTTAGTAGTGACATGGAGGTTGATGCACCAAGAAGGAGAAGACTAAAAAGAAAAACTACGAGATCCTTGGAAGAAATATATGAACAATATTTAAAAACACAAAAATTGAAAGTGATATTGAATCAGAGTTGGGCAAAATGCATTCCTTAAAGGTGTTGATAGTTGTAGGGGCTTTAAGGGATTATGCTGTTAGGGGAGGGTTCATACTGAGGATGATCAAGAATGATAGTAGAAGAGTGACAGCAAAATGTAAGGGAGAGGGCTGCACATTTAGGTTCCATGCTAGTGTGGCTCCAGACTTAGTGAGTTTTGTAGTAAAAACCTTACAACCTGAGCATACAAGCACGAGGCCATTAAACAACAAGAATCCCAATGCAACAACAAAGTGGGTGAAGAAGAAACTGGAATCTCAATTGGCTGTTGATCTAGGAATGAGCTATGATTTAATGCAAGCTGAGTTAAAGGCAAAATGTTAAAAGGCAAAATGGGGCATTGAGACTGAATAATTGGCAGCTTCATAGGGCAAGGACAGCTGCTAGAGAGCAAGTTGCAAGGTTCAACAACGTGAAGAGCTACAATAAGTTTGCAATGAAATACATTACACAAAGTTTCAAAATGTCAAACCCTGGAACTTTTTATCAAATTGAATCAATGCCTATATAAACAATTTTGGATGAGCCACTTGTCTTTAAAGCTCCATTTTCATATAATTTTGGAATTTTGAAGCAATGAAAGTGGGATTTTTGGAGGGATGTAGGCCTCTCATTGGATTGGATGGATGCTTCCTGAAGGGCCCTTTTGGAGGATGTTTACTAAGTGCAGTTACACTAGATGGGAATAAGAGGGTGTTCCCACTAGCTTTTGCAATTGTTCAAAATGAATGCATTGCAACATGGACCTTCTTTCTTGACTGTCTTAGACAATGCATTGGACCGGAATGTGATTCAAAGCCATGGACATTTATTTCAGACAGACAAAAGGTAACTTCCTCCAAAGTATTTCATATTTCATTTTCAACTTTTTAGCTAATGATGTTGAATTCTTTTTGAACATAGGGATTGATTGAGGCTGTGAGGACACAGTTTGAGGGTTCAATCCACAGATATTGTTGTCAACATTTGTTAATGAACTTCAAGAAGCGCTTTCCAGGGGTGATGTTGAGGAAGGAATTTTGGATGGCAGTTAAGTCTAGCCATAGTTATGCATTTAAGCAGCATATGAAGAATGTTGAGGCTAAGAATGAGGGAAGGGCTGCAAAATGGTTACTAGATATTCCTATTTCACATTGGAGTAGACATTTTCAAACATTGGGAGTAGACATGCTTTCATCCAGCAGCTAAAAAGCGTTGAAATGTGACAAATAACATGAACAGAGAGTTTCAATACAGCTGGCTTGGAAACTTGAGGAAACCAAAACCAGTTGTTGAGCTAAAATAGACTCTATTGAGCTAATAGACTCTATTAGGCAGAAATGCATGGTTATGCTTCATAAAAGGTTTGCAGTGGCTACTGCTTGGGAAGGGAGAGTAACTCCAAAATGCAAGTGTACATTGAACAGATTGATAAAAGAATCTAGACAATGCAGAATACTACCAAGTAACAATAATGAGTTTGAGGTGAGAGAGGGGCCTATGGCTTTTGCTGTTGACATTGGGAAAAAGACATGCACCTGCAATTATTGGGACATGTCAGGTCTTCCATGTAAACATGCTTGCATTGCACTTGGATACATGAGACTCAATCTTGAAGACTTTTGTCACGAGTATTTCACAGTAGAGAAGTATGTAAAGGCCTACAAAGGCAAAGGAGTCATTCATCCAAATTCCAAAATTACAACATCCCACCACATAAACTGAACTTCCATTCCTTAAAGCCTCCAACCGTTAAAAAGGAAGCCTGGCAGACCAAGAGAAAAGGAGAAAACTTCAAGAGAAGAAGCCTCCTCAAGCAACAGCTAAAGATCTTGCACAGTTGGTGTGTGACATGCGAGCAACTAGGCCAATAATAAGAGAACATGCGAGCAAGCCGCCACCGCAGCCATATCTTAGGTCAGATTCACTTTTGCAATCTCAATAATTACTATGATGTTTTATACTATGTGAATCTTACTACATACCATTTGTTTTATTAGAGGAAACAAACAACATTGTGCAAAGAAGAAGGAAAAATTCATCTTGGATCTGATGCTATACTGTGGAAAGAGGTGCCTGCTGCTGTTGTGGGAAAGAAGTGTGTTTATTGCAACAAGAGGGGAGAGGCTGTTGCCTGCAACAAAGAGACAGAGGTGCTTTCTGCTTTTGAGAGGGGAGGTGGCTTCTGTTTGAGAGGTAGAGGTCCTTGCCTAGTTGTTGAGAGGTGCTTCTAGTTTGAGAGGGAGAGGTCCTTCTGGTTTGAGAGGGAGAGGAGCTTCTGGTTTGAGAGGGAGAGGACATCTTATATCGTGAATATATATGTTTTGTCCTGTGTTAAATATGTTGCAGATTTGGTTTTTTAGTTCAAATGTTGAAGATGGTTTTTTGGTTCAAATGTTGAAGATGGTTTTTTTGTGGACTAATATGATGCGGATGTTCTTTTGGGTTGTTGAGGTGTTACAGATGGTATTTTGGGCTTCACATCTTGCAATATGGATATCCTGCTATGTGCATTTTGTGTGAACAGGTGCTGCTGCTGACAACAGATTCCACAGTTAGGGAGAACAAGGAATCTTTTGATTTTCTAGCAAGCACAGGAACAAATGTGTAACTTTTTTTTTCCATTGAATCTGTCTTTTTCTTGACAGCAAACACGCAAGTGTGTGTGGACCAAGTTTGATTTGAGTAGGGTTTTTGTGATGCACATTATGTAAATATGTTGTTTTTGTCTTACAATTATGTAAATATGTTGTTTTTTGTCTTTGTGAATTGCAAACATTTGAACTAAAATGACAATGGCAACTATTTGTACCAATCTTCCTGGCATGGGAGCAAGTGTTGAATTAATATTTTTCCTTTGCAGTTGCTATACTAAGAAAAAGTACACATTTCATTGCAAAAAACGTATTATTACATTCAAAAGTCATTTTCAAATCTTCAAATTGACTGTGCCCAGCTGAGCTACTAACATTCAACAACTAACCCACCACATTAACACAGCCAACTACAAAAACAACATAAACTACAAAAAAACTAACCAAACTACCCTAAATACATTAACAAAAAAAAAAATTATTATTCACAATCCTCTGTTACCCTTGAACAGCAACATTACAAGTAAAGTGAAAACATTATGATAGCCATCAAGCATATGAAAATCAACTTCTTCAAGCTGCCAATCTCCGACTCCAAGCACTCTCTTTTTCCTCCAATGGTCACAATCTCACTATACATTTTCATCATCTCCCTCTTCATATACAACATCTCTTCCTTAAATTCAAACAAGTCAGTAGCTACACTTCTTTGCCTCACTTCGAATTCGCTTCCTTGAGATCGATCTGATGAATCTATAGCTTTACACCAACCAAGAAAAGACCCGCATGCATTTTCAATAATAATACAGTCGATTTTTGTTTTTTGTGATACTCTGAGATCCTATGCCCTGCTTTTTTTTCCCACACTTGCCAATACAATTATTCACATACCTTCCTTCCCATGCTTCCATCGGCTGCGCTTGAAGAAGACATGTACCGGCTGTCGCTTGTTACTGAATGGAAATGGAGATGAGTTTGGTTTTGTCCCTTTCTTCCTTTCTCGTGCGTTTTTGTGGAGAAGAAATTTCGTCATACCTATTGTTAGATAGATTAGGAGCTTCACTAAAGGCATCTTTGTCATTACAGAATGTCTGCTTTTGTTTTGTACTGATTTTAACGGAAAAAAAATCAACTTTTTCGGACGGAAGGATCCTTTTAATTAAGACGGAGTTTTAACCTGAAGAGACAGTTAGATATTTGCGCAAACTTGAGATTAGTAGGTTAATTATAATAACCTGAGGGACTAAAATATAATTATATATATATATATATATATATATAATTGAATGACTGAACTGATAAAAGATTTACAATCAACTAGTTGGTGCTACTTAATTAGCAAGTGGGCCTACTTTTTGCTAATTGGGTTTGATGAGTAATTTACCAGATTTTTCTTTGTATTTTAATTAATTTTTTTCCCAATTATGTTTGTTAAGTTTTTTTCTGGTAATTTTAATTATAAAAATTAAAAATTTTGCAGATAAAAAAAATAATCTATTGCAGAATTTTGTAAGCAAAAACTTGATTTTTGAAATGTGGCATCCCTTTGACTGAATTTACAGTGTGTTCTGTGATTTTTGTTAGTGCAATGCAATTTTTAATTAGTGAATTAACTAATTGTTAGTACAATCCAATGAATGCCAATTATATATATATATATCACTTTGTTCTTTTTATATCTATTTATTTATATCTAAGTTTTTCAATTTTTTTATTTATAAAACAACACTTTAATTTTTTTTTTTTTCCATAAATATTGGTTGTTATTATATCATATTGTATTAGATCATTATTCAATTCCAGCAAAACCAGTTAGATAATTTTTCTATAAACAGAAGAATTCCACATACTATAAGACTCTAAGGTATCTATATATCTATGTATCTCAACGTGTAATCAAAGCAAAATGTGGAAATAAAAGGATTTCCGGGAGAAATAATAGAATGTGAAATAATTACGAGATATCTTGAAATATCTTTTTGTCAATCAAAAAAATTTAGTTTATTATTATTATAATATATATATATATATATATTATATATATATATATAAATTTATATACTATATATATATATATATTATATATATTTGGATAAATTAATATATATAATAGATATTATAATTTTCAATTTTTTGAAATTTTAGAGATTTTTTCGTTAGTTTTTTAAAAATTTTATATTTTAAATTTTTAATACTACTACCATAATATTTGAGTAATTTATAAACAAATACAATACATAAAATTAATGACTTTCAAATTTTGAATTTAAAAAGAATCTTTTCGCTAAAATTTTTTTTTTTAAATCATACTTTAAATTTTTGAATAGTGCACGCAACGAAACATAAATAAAAATAATAAATTTTAATATTTTTTAGTTCATCTAATAAATATTTTAAAATTTTATCTAATCATTTTTAATAAAAATTTGTCAGTTCATTGAATCTATTCCATTTAATGTGTTTATTTTAAATTATCCAAAAAAATTTTATTTAATCTATTTATACTATATATAAATGTGGAAATAGGGAAAATAATGAGATTTTCGATAGTGTTTTCGGTGAAATTTAAAATATTTTGAAATAACCTATGACAGCCAATTAAAACAATTTTATCTTAAAAAATATTTATAATATCTAATGTAATTTTAAATATTTTTTATTAGGGGAGAGAAAAGGATAAGGAAAAATCTTTAAAAATATCTAATATTTGATTGTAATTTAAAATATTTTTAGAATTGATTTTTGAATTTTTTTTTATTTTTTTACAATTTGTATTTGATTTTTTTTACATTTATTTTTAAATATTATTTTTCTTTATATTTGTATAATTTGATTGGATATGTGATTGGATATTTTCTTTTAACTTGACTTTAAGTTTTTTTTTTTTTTTTTTTGGTCCAATCAACTCAAAAATTTCATTAAAATCAATGGCTTTTCCAATGAAGAAAGGGGCTGATTTTTAGTATTCAAATTGGAGTAGTTGTTTCTTTTAGTAAGAGATTTGTATCTTCTTGCAAATAAAAAGATGGTCTCCTTGAATGATTAAATGATTAAATATTTTTAATTTTTTAAAATTTTTTCTCTTATATTCTAAATTTGTTTGATTCGAAGGAAAATAGTATTTAAAAAACTGAAAAAAAAAATAGAACTAATATTTCTGTTTTTGATCACTTTTGAAGGTTTCAAGGATCCGTGCATATGAATATGTTCATTTTTCTAATGCATTAAGTATATAATACTGTCACTATAGCCAAAACAATTATTACTATTATTCTGGCTCATGTTATTTTTAAATAATTCAAACCAGTTTTTCGAGGAATTTTTTTTTAATTTTTTTTTACTTCTCCATTATTAATATATATAGATATTGATAAGGGTTGGGGACAGAAAAAATGAGGATTGAGTGATGGTTTGATTTACTTTTTGGATGGTTTCAAAAATCTGTATAAATTAGGAGCTGAAATTAGGTTTAGGGGTTACGGTAAACTTTACTTGAATGACCATTTCATTATATAAAATAGAAATACATAGAAACAAGATTACAAGTAGTTTTTAGGGCAAAGTGTAATGTAAATAAACATTTTATTTATTTTAATCTAAATAAAAAATCTAAAT